CTGGTGAGTTTGACCCACCAGCCTTCTGGGTTAGCAGTCAAATGCCTTAGGCACTATGCCACCAGAGGTCCCTTGAAAAGACATGAAATTTATGAATATGAAGCACAGTTGAAGAAGGTGCCACAAGCTCAAAGCTTATAGAGCACACACAAATCCAGGGACATAGGAGGGACTGATGGGGACTACTGTGAAATGCAGTGCCCAAGCCCAATCTAAACGGAATTTCTAATACTCAGTCCAGCCGACTGTAGCCGTGCACAAAAGTATGCAAGCCATAAAATCCAACTTTTCAAAAAAAAGTTTTTGACCATGTCTTATGAAATTTATTAATTACTATTTTTTTAATGCTGGTAACCCATTCAGATTTAAGGCATTGTGTTAACCAAACCAAAACGGACTCTCAGCCACAATTTGCAACTTACTGTTCTTGGGATTTACGTAGGCAGAAAAAGTGAAGGAAACAGTACAAGGTAGAGTAATAATCTGCCTAGAATGCCGAAGAGTAGCTGCCTGAAAGGTTTAAGAAATAGGGCCAAAAATAAACTCCCAAGAGAAGAAAAAAGTGAGTTAGCAACAGTGAGGACAGAAGTCCTCACTAGTGTCTCTGAAGGCATCCAGTGAGACCAAGGGTGGGAGCCATTCTCACCACTGGCTACGGAAGTCTGCGGTGCTTCAGGTCCTGCAGGGCTGTTCCCGGCTGAGCCACCTGCAGCCGCAGCTGCCACGGTTCCTCCGTGGCTGGGGCCAGGACGAGCGGCGCCCACCGACCTCTTATCTCGACCTCCTCCGGCGCCACGGAGATGGACTCCATTTCCTGAGGAGGGGGCCGCAGTGGCCCGCCCTCGGGCTCGGCCTCGGCCACCGGCCACCTGGCGCCAGGAAGCTTCCATACCTGCAGTGGAAAGAAAAAAAAAAAAGAAATGGTTGGAGCGTGAACGTGGCGAATGACGAAGCGGAGTAATGGGACAGGAGGGGACCTCAGTGTGAGGAGGCGGAGAGGAAGGTTCCTGCACGCCTGGGACAGGGGTGAGCAGGTCGCGGCCCTAACTCTCCCGGAGGGCGAGTCGCGCTGCTAAGCCTGGGCTTTGGAACACAGAGGGAGGGGGCTAGGAAGAAAAATGTACAGCGCGGCAAGTAGCGGCAGA